CTGGTTAGTCCATGCTAACACCTCAAAAGAGGCAAAAAGAACAATAATATCCACCAATAGAAAAATATTGCTGCTTTTAAGATGTCTTAACATTGCACTAAAGCACCAGTGAAGGAGCTTTCATCAAGGAATACAGCTGCTCTGCCAAAACAAGACATTTTTGTGTGTGTGCACCCTTCTACATAGCTATTTACCTACAACTACAGGAGACAAAAAGGCTGACACAAAATCACACATGTAGGTAACTTCTTACCAAATATATGATCTAAAGAAATTAGGAAATGCTGTTTAAACTGTTGTATTTTTAAATTATTGCCCTGAGGATTCATGGAATATAATTTTGCACAGCCTCTTCAATGCACTTTAAACACTTTCCTACAAGCACTATTTCAGGAGGAAAAATGGTACCATCACATAAGTCACTCACTGCTGGTTTTACAGTTCAAAATTTATAGATAGGAAATATAATATTTTTAAAGTACATTAAAATGGGTTTTTGCTGACAGAGTAATTAAAAATTTATTTGGAACATGAAAGTAAATATTAAATGTAAAGACACATTACAAATGCAGTTTCAATTTTACTGTCAACAATCCAAACACTTACCTGAAGATTGGAAAGAGAATTTAAACAAGGCTAGCCTATCAGCGTATCTTTAGGTCAATTCTATTTACATGTGAAAGTTAAGATAATAAAAACTCTAAATATTGAAAATTAAAAAGTAAGGTGATCTTATCTAGAATTTTATTACTAGCTGGAAGTTAATTTCAATGATGTCTCTTTGAAAGTGCTTTAAATTTTGCAATTTCATCTTCTCAAAACATTGTTTATCTTTACAAATTACAATTACTTATAATATTTTCATGATGAAGTTCACTGTGACACATGAATGACCACTCACTCTATTGTCTTCTAGAGATGTGGGTGAAGAATTTTAATCAATCTAGTGTTCTTTGCAATGTGTTGCATTACAAAGTATCAGCCAAGATAAGAAGAGGTCAGGCATCCAAGACTTCTGCTGCCCAGTAATTACTTTATGACCTAAACCTGTGATGCAGCACAGTAATTTTAACTACAGTTTTTCAACTCCCATAGTTTTACTTTTGTCCTTATTTCCATTCTGAAGATCTTGCTATCTATTTACTCAAACATCCAAAGGTCAAAATAACTGAAAATTTCAATTATCAGGAGAAAAATGGTATTTGCTCCAACCTTTCACTGCATTTTTTCTCATCTGCCACTGTCAGATCAACAGACTGATAAACAAAGTCAATTTTTCTCTTTGATTGGCTGCTCATCGTGTACGTTCTCCTTTCCTTGTCTGCATTCCTGACCTCATCAAAGTTCTGGCCTGCAGGTCAAATAAGAGTCAGTCACCTGCGCATTTTTCTCAAAAAGCTGGAAAACCAGTCTGTTCCAAATGGCCCACACAGGCAGAAAGTGAGTGAACCACATCTCTGTCCCTGAGAGGGCTTTTTGTGAGCTGCCAGTACAACTGAGAGGGTATTACATTTGGCCAGCTGTCTCAACAGGCAGAAGGGCAAAGCCCCTACAAATTCCTGGAGATAACATCCTCAAATTCTCTATACAGCCCATACATTAGATATACATTGGACTGGAATCATAGAACAGCCTGGGTTGGATGGGACCTCAAAGATCATCTAGTTCTAACTGCCCTGCTGAGCATAGGGACCCCCTTCACTGGGTGAGGCTGTCCAGAGCTCACCCAACCTGGCCTTAAGTATTTCCACTTGGGGATGTGAGGGCATCCACAACTTCTCTGGGCATTTTTTACCTCTACACAGGGACCTCATCTGAGCCTTCCTCTAAAGAAGCCTCTCTCAGCAGCTGTGTAGACAGAATCCATCATCCTCAGACAGCTGATATTTATCAATGTCATGGTGTAACAGTCTTTATCACTGCTGGATGTGTCTTACAAGCAGCTCGTCAATATAAAAATGAAGAACTTTAGTTTTGGCACCAGAACTGTTTACTTACCTTTTCCCACTACAGTTACTTTGGTTCAGTCCTCCCACTTGGTTCAGTGCAGACCACGCAGTGAGACCAACATATGGTAAGGCAGCAGCTTCTGTGTGACTGAGACACTTTGGCTTAAAAGATACCTGAAATAGAACCATAACTAAGTCACACAGCAGCTCCTATGTGACAGTGAAATATTTTAAAAAGCTTCACTGAATTGCAGATTGTGTATTGCACATTTTCAGCCATCTTCAAAACTAGCTGGAGTATGAATCAATCCAAGCACTAAGAAATAAAGTTACTTAGATACTGAAGAAGAAAAATGCCAGTCTTTACAACTCTGAGGTTTTGTTATCCAGAGTTTTGAAAGTTTACCTCGTTTCCACTAGCTACTACAAACTCTGACAGAGTGCCTTGTTTCCATGGGGGAATTGCTGCCCACACCTAAAACCAAACAGAAAACAGCTATTAATTTTTGTAGCTTTGCACACAAGTGTATGTGCACAAAAGATTCCCTTGTTAAAGAAACCTTTTTTCTAATTCACAGAATGTCTTCACTGTTTATCAGAAACAAGTTTTAGCTTATTTTACACTAAAAAAAAAAACAAACACAAAACCGACTAAATGAAGGACTGAAGGGCTATGTTAACAAATTGTACCATTGCATTGTGTATAAAACATCATTTTTCAATTCCCCCAAACTACTCCCATGCCAGAAAAGCCCAGATTAGAGGGGTGAGGATGGTGCAGAATCAGGATTTGCTATGCTAAAACTAGTGAAATGTGAAAGCAACTGGTGAAGGTGAAAGCAAACAGTATCAGTATTTGTGTGGGCACCCATGAAGTCCTTCTTGGGTTAAGCCAAAGTTCCTACTCCAAGTAACTTAAGAAAAATAAAAACAAAATCCTTCTTGTTAGAATTCTACCTTCAATTAAAAACAAAGTGGCACTTTGAGTGTGCACTTATAAACAAGCAAATTCCACTCTTGCTACTGCTGCAATGGTCCAAAAACTAAAACCCAGAAGGCAAATTAACTTGCAGAAGTAAGTCTCTGAAAGGCCATGAGACCATGTTTTTCATAGATAAAAATGAAGGGAAGAAAGTATTCTAGGAATTTACTGCCAGACAGGCCTTATTAAGAGTGCAACAGCATTAAAAAAAAAATTATGAAGAGAATGAATGCTGAAGATCTCATAGTATATTTTAAGTGTATATTTTGAAAAAAAGAAATAAGAGATTGTTGGTTTCACCTCATCTCCAGGTTTGAAATAAGACACACCCAGTCCACACTCCATAACCACACCAGAGACATCTCGACCGAGTGTTAGAGGAAATTCAGTCTCGCCCGCTTTGAGTTTCAGGGGATCCCGCTTCATGTTTAACGCGGTTGCACCATAACCACCTGCAAAACATGGAATCAACCACAACACCCCACACTGAGTGCTCATCTGTTAACAGTGCAATTCCAATTAGAAAGCACTGGCTATCCATAACATGCCTCATTTCTGTTATAACTGAAGCATGCAAAAAATCTGCGATATTTCACACTTTCACAGATTTTAGAGATAAAGAGCAAGTGTAAAAAATAATAAGGCATATTTCCTAAGATGAGTAACCTGGACTTCTATTCAGTAAGCAACAAATGCTGTGTAGTCTTAGAATTACCCATTTAATAACATTGATCAGCCTATAAAGAGCCTGCATTTGGGCATGTATACCCACTCAAGTGTTTGGACAAGACCACCTAGGGGCCCTATCATGCTAAAAAGTGTCTTAACAGGAATCCTCAGATAGGAAATGTCCCATCACTAAACCCCCAACTATATTCAAAGATTTTTTTAGAATTCATTTATTAGAGATCCAAAGCACAGATTACAGCTGTGGTTCCTGCAGATATATTTGCTTGTTCTACTGAATCTGATTCAATATGTAAGCACTTCTACACTACAGGAAATATAAGGTATTCTACTACCACAACTTCCTTCTCGTGTTTCAAACCCAGAAACTGGGGGAAAAAACCTAATTAAATGTGTCAAATACAAAGAGCCGGGCAATGAAAGAGACAGATTTCCCGGGCGGGATGACAGCACGTCTCCAGATGCCAATTTAGGATGGGCATGGCAATGAACACCGCGGTTTGCCTTAGGTCGTGCAAGCAGACTTGGCAGCAACTTGGGCCTCCAGCTCCATTCACCTCAAGGAGATGGGAAAATGCAGCATCACTTAAGGGGAATGCTGCTCCTTGGCCGGGCGTATCTCGGTAAAGAGAGCTGCACAACAATCATTCAATTCAAAGTTCACCCTCTCAACACGCACACGCACACTCTTGTCAGTGGCTTTTTGTATCGCTCTTCCCTGAGAACCTGAAAAAAGTGGAGCTTCCAAGAGGCGGAGATTTTCCAAAGGGCTCGGGGAAACACGTGTGTTGAGGCAGCCCTGGTCGCTGCCGGGCCGGGCCGGAGCCCTGGTCACTGCCGAGCCACCCCTGGTCACTGCCGCTGCCCTGGCACCGCTCGGGCCGCCGGAGCCGCAGCCCCAGCACAGCCCCTGCCATCCCGGCACTTACTTCTCATGCTGAGGTCGATGGGGTTCAGGCTCGCAGCGTGAACCTTAATGATGACCTCGTTCGGGAAGTGTATGATGGGGAACATCATCTCCCTGGTGAAGCGCAGCACGTCGTTGCTGCCGTACCGGTCTATGACCCAGCTGGGCATGGCGATCCGCGCCCGCGGAGAGGCGCGGAACCCGCGGGTCGGTACCCGCCCGTTCGCCCAACGCAGCGCCCGGCCGCCCGCCCCTCCCCACGACAGCATGGCCGGGGCAGCCGGGCCGGGCCGTGCCCCCGGTTCGCGATCGGGATCACGATCGGGATCAGGGTCGGGATAAGGATCGGGCCGGGTCGCACCTTCGCCCCACAGCGCTCAGCCCGGCGGGCCCCGCAGCCAATGGGCGGCCGCCTTCTTGGCCGCCCCGCCAATGGTGCCGCGGGGTGTTGCGCCAAGATGGCGGCGCGCGGCCGCCGCGCCGGGGGAAGGATAGGGGTCGCTCGGCGGGCGTGAGGAGGCGGCGACGGGCAGGGAGAGCCATGCTGCGCGCCTCTCTCCGCCAGGTGAGTGGGGTCTGTCCGCCTGCCGGGGATGCCGAGGAGCGGGGCGGGTTCGCAAGGTGACCGGGTTCCCCTCGCGTTCCCCTTTCCCGGGGTGGCCCGGGAGAGCGCGTCCCGTGCGCTCCTTCCCTCAGCGGGGATGGCGCTTCCTTCCCGTCCCACCCCGGCGCGGCCTCTGGCACCCGGCTGCCCTGAACGGCGGGCTGCGCTCCCAGGTGTCGGCGGCGTTGAAGGAAGGACGAGTCGCTCCCACGGAGCTCTGCCAGCGATGCTTGGCCCTCATCAAAAGCACCAAGTTTCTAAATGCATACATCACCGTAGCGGAAGAGACCGCTTTGAAGCAGGCTGAAGAATCAGAGGAAAGATACAGAAGAGGTACGTTGGTTTGTAAGTAATGTCAGTCCTTAAAAAGCTGCAGAGGAGGAGCTGTCTGTTAGACGAAGCACCTTTGCTTTTTAAAAGGGGTATCTTGGCTTGTTTGACTCTTGGGAGATGAAGCTCATACTTGAGGTTTCCATGGGTGTACACTTGGCACTCAGGAGAGTATTTAGGCCAAAAAAACGGGGAAAACCTGGACCAAACGAGGCACTGCAGGTTAAATAGGCTCTGTGCCTCTTGGACAGCATTACTACTTGGTGTCTGCTCAGCAGTTCATTTGGAATATGCAGCCAACAGGTGCCATGAATAGGCAAATGCAGTGGTCATTCTCAGGCCTCCAGGCTGGGATAGGCACACAGCTGGCACAACCTATTGTGTTTTTAATTAAGAAAGCAAATTAAAATAATGCAGCTTTATTAATTGCAGTTAGGAATTGGAGAACAGAACAGCTTTCAGTCCTGTTATCTGCAGCATTTAGAAGATGGCCATCCTCATTTTCCTTTGTGTTTCAAGAAAGGCAGGAAAGGTAAATTTTCACCTAATAGAGTACACATTTTCCTTCCTGGGTGACGCTTGCTATTCTCTGACAGCTCAATAAAATTGTCAGGCAGGTTGTTTTGCTTCCTGATGTAGGCCATTTACGTTTTGGGTTGGGGTTTTTTTGTGGTCTTTGTTGGTTCTGGGTTTTTTTTTTTTTTTTGATGGTGGATAATCAATTACTTGGGAAGCATTTTCTCTGCTTCAGTAATTAATCTACTGTGTGTGTCAGGTAGGCCGAGTTTATGGCTCCCAGCCTAGTGACAGGGTGGATTGAGTAGCACCTATGACTGCAATAAGCCCTGTGGGGTGACATTGGAATGCACTCCTTTGGGATAGCCAGCCTGGGTGAAAGCAGGCAGAGGGCTTAGACACGAGGTCTGGTTTGGGCAGAGTGCTCAATGCTTGAGTTGGAATGGAAGGTGGTTCTTGAAAATGGAACAGACAACCATCAAATGCCAAGTGGAAAGCAGTCTTGCTTTCAAAAACCACCCAAAGGGACATGTAAAATAAACAGTAATTGATGAGAACATTATATATATAGAGCACATTTTGCTTTAATTTCTGTTGTTTTGCAATCATTTCTAATGCAGGTCAGCCACTGGGCATTCTAGATGGAATTCCTATTGCTGTAAAAGACAACTTCAATACAGCTGGCATTGAGACAACATGTGCATCAAATATGCTAAAAGGTACAGTAAAGCTTTTAAAGTAAAACCAGATCTTTCACTCTTTGGAGGGTTTATGGACTGGAGTCTTCTAGAAACCCAGGTATTTTCAAAAAATGAGCTGGTGTCATTTGAGGAAATACATTTATCCAATTTCACTAGCCAAGTTCATTTTTTTCTTCTTCTAAGCACATGATCTCTTTATAATTGTATGCATTTAACAACAGTTATAATAAAAACCTATATACTACAATAAAATGGTTCCAAAATTCACATTTTCCTTCACATTGCTTTTAGGTCTAGAGGAGAGCAGTCAGTGCTGTTCTACCTAGTGAAATCCAAAGACAGTCCTATTTTGTTTTTGTTCTGTTTATAATTGGTGACTTAAATAGCTTTCTCATATAGCTGTAGGAAAAGCAGATGTTAACAATCCCAACATACAATCATGTTTATAATGCTTTTCTTATATCTGTTTTATTCTGCACAAAGTAAAACTTTATATTAATCCTTGTGGAAGATAGCAGAAGTAAATTAGCAGACCTCTGATTTGATTGTGGTTTTTTTTAATAGCAGAAGAAACAAACCATGACTTCATATTTGTAAAAGTTGTTATATTACCTGAGATGCTGTTCCTTAAAGCACATTCTCAGACCTGTTGTGATTGATTGCAAAGAGTATTAGGAGTGATGTCCTTGTTCCTGATGGAAGTGGGAGTGAAGAAGCCCCTGTTATCATTCATGAAGTGAATTGGTTACCATTTGAGGTCTTGTGTCATTTTCATAGTTCTCATCCTAGGTTATGTAAGGTCTGAGTGGTAATGACAGCGTCAAAATGTTCAGAATAGCTACTTGTAAAAATAACTTGTATCTCACCAGTTGCTCTTAATTGTTGTGATTGTTTTCAGGTTATATTTCTCCTTACAATGCTACAGTAGTTCAGAAGTTACTGGATCAGGGAGCTGTGCTTTTAGGTAAAACAAACCTAGATGAATTTGCAATGGGGTGAGTGATGTTTATTATCTTTAATGTGCTGATTTTACATAAAATACCGTACATACCATCTGTTCCAATCTACCTGTAATCCTTAACTCCTGTTTCTGTGAGGTGAGACAACAATGAATACTTACTGGGAGGGTACACAGAGCTGCAGGAACTTTTCCCTGCGTGTTTGTGGTGTTGTGTAAATGATACAGACGCTGAGTTTTGTGAACATAGTGTTCAAATGTGCTTGAGAGGCAGGAAGCAGTCCAGCTTGTGCAGAAGGCTGAGGACAAGTGGCCTTCTTGTAGATTCAGTAGTGTGTTAATAGAATTGGTTACAGCACAGTTAATTGCTGCCTTTTCCTCTCTCCTTACTGATAGCTTTTAGCCCTTAGGTAATTGTTATCGTGCCCCCGGTGGCAGCCACTGGGGGGATTTATATGGGTACTCCCTGACTTGCTGCACACAGGCTAATCAAGAGCAAGGCTTTTAGGTTGCCTCAGCTAATGGTGGTGAGTTTTTCTCAGGAGCACATTGAAAAATCCTACAAATTGATTCTTCTGCAAATCAGTGAAGGCAGCCAAGCTGTAGCAGAGAATGGCGTCGGGCTGTTAGGGATGGGAATTGCTGCCAGGTTTGGAAGGGAATCTCTGGGACTCTAGTACATGTGAAAAACAGTAAAAATGCTGTATTTGGGTTTTATTATACTTAAACCAGAGTCCAAGGTTTGATTGGAAATTCCTGTGGATGGGGTGGAAGTAATTGGACAATATTGTTTTGAATAAAGTAATTTTTATGTAAAAAAGCTCTTCCTCAGAAGAAGAGCAGGCAAAAAGCTTGGGAAAAACCTGATAATGCAGTATTACAACTGGTCTAAGTTCATTAAAGCACAGGGTTCTCCTAAAGAGCTTATCCCAATACTAGTTTCTCATTCTGCTGTGTGTGTTTGAGTGATTTCTTGATCAGGGAGCAGATCCAGCTCTAAAGTAGTGATGTCTGAATAAGGTTTGTTTTCTGCTGTGAGCTGCCTGTTCTGTGTGATGATACAGCTGGTAACACTGGCACCTTGCAGTCAGGGGGAGCGTGGGGTAGAGGGCCTGAGGAAGGAGGAAAGTGTGCCCTGCCCCTGCTTCTGGTGTCAGCTCACACCTGGGTGACACAAGCTGGCTGAAACCAGTTTCTGAGAAGCCTGTCTGGCATTCTGAACCAGTGAACCGTGCCCTCTGCAGAGGGCCACAGGGTGAATAATAGTGTGGCATTTCAGAGAAATGTGTGTTCCTGGTATTGTGGAGCTTTTTCTCCTCCTCTAGCAGCATGTTTTTCCTCACAACAGTGATCTTGCATCAAATGCAGGGCTGGAAAAACAGAATACCTTGGTTTTGAAAGAGATGTGCTCCTGTACTTTTACATAGCTTCAATCAGTTTTCTGTCTTTGTGATTCTGTTCATTTCAGTGGCATTAGCAGAAGTTAGAAAGAGGTACAAGTTCAGGTTCTGTGTCAGAAAATGATGAACAGCTATGAATTTTACAGTTGTATGTAATGATGTAGAAGTTGACTGCTTAAGGATTTACGTACACCAGTCTTCTTGTGTTGAAATTGAATTTGCAAGCATGGTGAGGAATTGGATTAAAAAAATTAAATTGATGAATACAAGTGTGTCATTTGTCACTTCTGTGTGTATTTGTCCTGTATGACTATCTCAGTTCTGGGAGCACGGATGGAGTGTTCGGACCAGTCAGAAATCCCTGGAGTTATTCAAAACAGTACAAGGAAAAGTCTGTCCCAAAATCCCATCCTGAGGACAAAGAGTCAAACTGGGTGATAACAGGAGGGAGCTCCGGAGGCAGCGCGGCTGCTGTGGCGTCTTTCACATGTTTTGCGTAAGAAGCTTTTAAAATTGTCTTTCCCTAAATGTCTCAAAATATTTTTGGAATATTTTAATTTTATAATTTTCTCATAAGCTAGTAAGAAATAGCAGGGTTATTGGCACTGGCATGCAAAAATTTATTCAGCATCCCTAGGTTACTCATGGCATATCATGAAGCCAGAATTAATCCATGCAGGCAAATTTAGATTTACTCATTTCAGGCATTATTCAGTGGTATGACCACTTTGCACTTTGTGAAATATATATAAAATTATGATGGCAGTAAGGGAGTGACAGTTTTAGTCTTATTCCCACATAATCTCGTAAAAAGTCTTAAGGGGTTTGTGGTGCATCGTCTTCCTCCCTAATTGCATTACACAAATACACACTGAGAATGTAATTCAGCAAATTAAGAGATCCCTCAATTTGTAACAGAATAATAATCTTTCCTGTGCTCCTTTGTTTTTATAGTATAGTTATGTAATAGTACATGAGATTTGGGACCTAAAAACTTTCAAATCTCTTATTTAACAAAAGAGTATAGAGTACTTACTAAATAGATACTTACAGACTTCCCTGTTTTTAACTTAGAAAATAGTTTTAGTGTTGGGGTGTTTTTTTAGGCAAGTGTGTGTTTATGGTGGTTTGGAGTTTTTTTCCTAAAGTAATTTAAACAAACTGGACTTTTTAAAAAAATAGTAATTACTAACTGCATGGAATATCAACACACTGTTTAGCAAGTCAGTTGTCTATACTGTCTTCTCCATCTGATTGTTAAAACTGATCATAAACCTTTACACCTTGCATTTTATGCAATTTTTAGAGATACATGTTGGAGCGTGTTTTATAGAAAATTATTTCAATTGTGCTCTTAATTGGAAAGTGTTTAAAAATGCTCTTTATTTACTTTATATGTGTTTGCCCATAGACTGCATTACAAACATCTATTTAGTTGTTTAAATGTTCTTGATAATGTTGATTACACCTCTTTAAATTACTTTTTAAAGTTCTGTATCTCTTCATATCCTTGCCATTTACTGGGATGTAATCTACTCAACATTTTAATACTGTTGAAATTGAACTCAGTGCAGCCATTCCCAAGGACTGCTGGTTCTAATCCTGAGCCAGAATGGGCTGATCCTGAGAGGGTCTGGCACCTTTTCTTAGTTGCTGGGCTCCCATTTTGCACTGCTCAGCACACTGTCAGATCAGGGAGATTTTTTTTGTCCAGCTATTTTATTGCATATAACCTATTGTATATCCATCCTATTAGTGTCTTTCAAGCACCAGGAATGCTGCCAGTCTTTACATTTTCAGTTTGGGATTTGGATGTCCAAAAATGCTATAAAATTGAGGATGTTATACATTAACACAAATGCTTTGGAAAAAATTCCACTTCAGGAAAGTCAATTTAATTGGTTCAGCCATCTCATAAACAAATGGCTATGGGAAAAGTCATATACTCACTTCAATAAAAATTATACCTATTTCTGGAGTTTAAATTGGTTTTGGCAAAGATTTGAATGAAAACTGCTTTATCTTTTTAATGCTGCTTGAGTTAAGTTTATTAAAAACAAGAGAACAGCATGTTTCATTGCAATACAATTTTTGAAATAAAAGTTTCAATTTAGAAAGAACAAGGTTTCACTTGTGGATAAGGAAAGAGGAATTCAACACAATAATAATAATATGCTGTGTTTTAATTGTACCTAAGCTACTGTAAACTGGGAGTTCTGATCAATCTTTGTAGATTTGGAAACAGGAAAAGCATCTTTCCAAAGTATGCCCTCTTGTTAGGGGCAAGAAGTGTCGTTCTTCATTTTTATCCTGGAAAATGCTGATTCATGGTGCATTGGCTACCCAATAAATAAGATATAAGTGTTGAAAATTGTTCCCTAAATCACATGAGATGTATCAGTTGGAGTCCACAGCATTGGAACAGACCACAGTACTGGGACAGGGAAGGCAGAAAAAGACATTTGGGGCCGTTTTCAGATGGTCTGAATTCTACCTATCTGTCTTTGCTTTGTAAAGAGAACTGGACTCTCCTAACGGCAAATTCAGAGACCCTAAGAAAAATCAGAGAACAAATGAAAAACAGACATAGAGAGCAGACCGGAATTTAGGCTGTGTGATTATGACTCCTGGTCTGGAAGAATTTACAATTTTAAATCCATGCATCTCAAAGCCACACATTCTTATGATTTGGAAATGTTCTGAATTATGTTACTAATGATGATCCTTTTGAAACCATAGAGCCTTAGGGTCAGACACAGGAGGATCCACCCGAAACCCTGCTGCTCACTGTGGTGTTGTAGGTTTAAAGCCAACATATGGACTGATCTCTCGCCATGGTCTCATTCCTCTAGTGAACTCCATGGATGTGCCAGGAATCCTAACCAGATGTGTGGATGATGCAGCAGTTTTATTAGGTATTACTCTGTCAAACATCATTGTTTACAACATTTCCTCAAAACAGACTGAATCCTGACTAACATTTTCCTGGTCTTCACATTTTGTGTCTTTTTCAGGTTCACTTGCTGGACATGATCCTAAGGACTCTACCACAATTCAGGATGACTTTAAGCCATTTGAACTACCTAACTTGACTGATGTCAGCAAGCTTTCAATTGGAATTCCAAAGGTAACATTTAAATCCTGTTAACAGTTATGGACCAGAAGAACAATTAAAAGACACATAACAAAAAAATATTTGTGTCTTGCCCACCACTTCCCAGTCTCCCATGATTTGAAACAGTGAAGAGAGTGAAAGCAGCTCCTGGAAAAGAACAGTTTGTGTTTGCCCTGTTGCCTGTCCAGGCAATTTGGAGTAAGCATACAGTAATGCATCACCTAAAACATGTTGTCACTGTGGGGGGAAGCACTGTCAGGAACTTAGGGGAAATGGGGAACTTCAGTTTCCATAGTCTACTCTGTAACCTCCAACAAGTTGCTCTTGGTGCCTTCCCACACAGTGAGCTTGATAATGGTTTGTGCAGAGCTTTGGGATCCTTGCCTAAATGCCACTGTGTGGCATTTAATATTGAGCAGAATTTTAAAGGCAATTGAATGGCACAAGGAGTTGTGATTTGCAGAGTCCTAATAAGAACTGAAAGACATCTAATTTGGCATCTGATGTATGCAATTCAATCATGTTTGTTTGAAATTTAGGAACAAAGTTTGGGACTTCAGCCTATTTTTAATTTAATAAAGGCTCTGCCTTCAAAGAGACAATGTAAATAACATTTATTAATTGTATTCTCAGCATTGGAACCTAAGCTAGAACAGGCATACCAAAAGTTTTAATTTGGTAAGCAGAGATGTCCACTGACCAATTATTCATAATCTGTGGAATGGAAAAATTATGTGCCTGGAAAATTGATCAGCTGCATACTGTTTAAATCTTGATAAATCTAAAATGATGTTGTTCAATTTTTCCTATCCTTTGGACAGTTTTTTCTACTGCTACAGGTTATTCTAAACAGATACATGCATACATTAAACATGGGTCATAGCTACTCAGAAATCAGACAGTATTATGACCTTGATATTATGGGTTGGAACTAAAGCAGGTATCTTCAAAAACAGGGAAATTTAATATAATATCTATAATTTGTCTGTGAAATAGGAAAGTAGCTAATCTAAGTCTTCTCTCAACCCCTTGATTGTAGTTCTTCTTTGGTGGGTGGTTTTATTTATTTCACCAAGGTGTGCCAGTTGCCACTGATAACATTGTGAGCATTAACAACAGGGGCTAACAGCCCTGGTTTTAGGATTTAGACCTGGAGAATTTGTTCCTGTGACTGCAGAGCAGTACAGTATGGTCTTGATAGATAAATAAGGGAATAGCTGGGCAATTACTCTTTCAGAAGAAACTACTGAAATTCCATGATGTGTGATACATATGTAGATCTTACTGAAATGAACATAATACTCTTAAGAAGACTCAATCCTGTTAATTTAATACCCCTTGATTGTATAGGATTTAGTAGATGCAAAAAGCTTTTATTGGCACTTTAAATCATATAGTGGTGAGATAATGGTTGCAATGTATGTTTAGCAAGGAGTATTTGTTTTAGTTGCTATTAGAAGTAAACCAGTATGTAAAATAACTCCTGTTCTTGTTTTTCCTCTAAGGAATATCATGCACCAGGGCTGTCAAGTGAAATTCTGGCTCTCTGGTCAAAAGCTGCTGACCTGTTTAAGAATGCAGGTGCTAAAGTGGTTGAAGTGAGCCTACCACACACTCCTTACTCAATTGTCTGCTATCATGTGCTGTGCACAGCAGAAGTGGCATCAAATATGGCCAGGTTTGATGGACTGGAATATGGTAAGGCCTTTGAAAAACCTTTTTTCTCAGACAGTAGAAACATTGCTGGATGCCATGTAAAAGTGTTATTCATAGATTAAAAAGTGTTTTTCATAGATTTTCTTTTCATGGTTGGATGCTTGATACTATTTCTCCAAGATGGAATATAGTAAAAAACCTTGTGCAGATAAAAATGTGTAAATAAATACATAATATATTTCACTACTAGGCATATTAGTGTCTGGGCTCAAAATCTAGTTTAGTATTTCCATAATAAAACAGGAATGTGTTTTGTTGTTTTTCCAGAGTAGTAGCACGTCAGGCTGCAGCAAACAGTGACCTATTGTGCTACTATGACATTATTAAATCTAAAGGATTACAAGAAGTATTAACACCCAGAATGCCTTTTCTTTCCAGGCCATCGTTCTGACATGAAGGATTCCACTGAAAGTCTGTATGCTGCTACACGGAGAGAGGGCTTCAATGATGTCGTAAGAGGAAGGATTCTGTCAGGAAACTACTTCTTGTTGAAACAGTAAGCAGAACTTCTTGAAATTCAGCTTTTCCAGATTAATGAAGTTTTGAGCAAATGATGATTAGTTGCTCATCATGACATGAGGAAGAAATTGCTCTTACACTAGTAGCTGTTTGTATTTTTATTATTGCTTTAGCTCTATAATGCCTGTTGATAATGAACGAAAATGTTTTCCCAGAGTCTTACCAGTGAGTGTCCTAAATTAAATAAGTAGAACAATTTAGTGATTTTTTCCCCCTACCAGAGCATTATTGGCATCCATTAGTTAAATTAGGCAGAAATCTACCCTATGGTATGACATTGAAATCATACTGAAGTCTTTACTGTCTTAGTGTTAGAAGTTCTGTAGCTGTTAATTTCATTAAAACTGCATAGAGAAACCGCTGGTACGTTTTAGTGAGATCTTCTAGAGAAAGCCAGACACATAGCAATTAAATTAACTGCAGCTCTGTGTCTCAGTACAGGGAAAGAGAAGCATTGGCAGAAGTATTGGACTGAAGTCCTTACAGAAGTCAGGGTTTTATCCAGCTCACGTAGAGAAGTTAGTGCATGGATCAGTTTTACATTTTTAGTTTTCAATCCTTATCCAGCAGTCCTAATTTATGTTAGTAAATGTGCTGTTTCTCTTTGTCTGAATTTGTTCAGATACTAACAAAAATATTAGGCATGTAATTAGTCTCTGTAGTGCACTTGCTTTGAAAGAGCTCTGTCAGCAAGAGTATTCATCAGCTGTGACTTCTGATTGCTCTCAGAGACAGGAATGTTGTCAGTCAGTCTGTAACAACCAGCTTTTCTGGAATGCCAGTATTCCTGCCAAGTGTGCTCCCTCTGCTTACAGCTGTCCAGATCAGCTTTCCTGAGGCTGCTTTAAAATCCACATAGTTAACTCTTCTGTGGAGGAATACACAATTAGCTTCCACCCAGATGGAACAGGAGAGTTGTGTTCCTGTTCCACAGTAAATTACTTTTGAAGAACAGAGTGCAGGGTTCAGAAAGCATTCTTAGAATAAGTAGTAGAGAAAACCCATCTGTGTCTCTTGCAAATGTTGCCTTGTACAGCTTATTTTTATCTTGCTTTTCAAAGTTTTAAAATGACTAGGTGATTGTTTGGAAGTTCTGTTTAACATCTTTAGAGATGGCATGGACAAGGGGATTGAGTCCTCCCTCAGGAAGTTTGCAGACAGCTCCAGCTGGAGTGGTAGTGTTGATCTGCAGGAGGGCAGGAAGGCTCTGCAGAGGGATCTGGACAGGCTGGGCTGGGGCCAGTGCTGTGAGGTTCTGCAGGGCCAGGTCCTGCCCTTGGGTCACAACAACCCCAGGCAGCACTAAAGGCTGGGGCAGAGGGGCTGGAAAACCACCCAGGGGAAAAGGACCTGTGGGTGCTGGTCAACAGCAGCTGCACCTGAGCCAGCTGTGCCCAGGTGGCCAAGAAGGCCAATGGCATCTCAGCCTGGATCAGCAGCAGTGTGGCCAGCAGCACCAGGACAGGGATTGTCCCCCTGTACTCAGCTTTGGTGATGCCATGCCTCAGATCCTATGTTCAATTTTGGGCCACTCACAACAAGGAGGACATTGAGGTGCCAGAGTGTGTCCAGAGAAGGACAGCAGAGCTGGTGAAGGGGCTGGAGCACAGATCTTATGAGGGGTGGCTGGGGGAGGTGGGGATGTTTAGCCTGGAGAAAAGGAGAGACCTTTTCACTCTCACTGCAGCTACCTGAAAAGAGGTTGTGGTGAGGTGGGGAGTCAGTGTCTTCTCCCAGGTAACATGTGAGGAAACAGCCTTACATTGCACCCTGTGAGGTTTACATTAGATATTAGGAAAAATGTCTTCTCTGTAAGGATTGTCAAGTGTTGGAACAGGCTGTCAAGGGAAGTGGTGAACTCCCCATCCCTGGAGATATTTAAATGACATGTAGAGGTGGCACTTAGGGACTTTATCAAGTTAACAGCTAGGTGGATTTCTGAAGTGATTGTAGAAAAATGTCTAATTGCCATTGTATAACTTACTAACTTGAATCTGTTTATTGATTATAACCATTTTCATTGCTGTTTCTTGGAATCTTAAATCTTTAGATTACTCTAACAAAGTGAGATTTAGGCAGTTGTAGTTGTTTTATCTGTAAACACTCTGGCATGTAGCAGTTGATAATACACCACTCCATTTTTCTTTCACTTTACTTTTTTTTTCTTTCCCAAATAGCTGAGGGTTTAGATGACAGTTACTTTTGAAACTGAATTTCTCTGTATTTAAGATTCTATATTTACTAATTCTGCATATGAAGTTAAAAGGAATGATAGAGTTGACCAATATGTTTCTGCTTCAGAGTTGTGTAAAGACAGAAATCCATAGACCACATGTTTACATGAGGGGAAAAAATGGGTCAAGATAAGGTCTTCTACAGAGAAGTATACTACAACCACATACATAGTTTTAAATCCATTTGGAGTTGTCCACAGATGATGGGACTTTTTAATTTGTTTCAAGTATCTTGCTGGATTGAATCCTAAATGGTTAATTCCTATTTTTCAGACCTGTGTAGTTCTGTATTTTCTAGACTTTGCTGTGCTACCCTACAGTGAAATTAGGTTAGATTCCAGCATTTCACCCAGAGGGTGACTGAGCACTGGAACAGACTCCCCAGGGGAGGACTCACAGCACCAAGCCAGTCTGAGTTGTGCTCTCAGGCACGTTTGTGGTTCTTGGGGTGTTCTGCACAGGGCCAGGAGTTGGACTTCATTATCTTGATGGGTCCCTTCCAGCTCAGCATTTTCCATGGTTCTGTGAAATTCAATGCACAGTTTAGTTTCCAAATGGTCATAAAAGTGTTGTTTTTGATTTTTAGTTAATTATTTTAAGGTAGGGTTTTGTTTTCCGTTCACCTTCCTTCAGCTGTGTGCCCTCATCTCTTCCTTCTCTGGCAGCTCCTCTGCTATGAGAGCACAAACACATGTGTGGTGACTGAGCTTCCAGTGTCAGTTAAAACCTTGTCCAAAAGGATTACTGGGCTTGTCTTTTCCACAGTAACTAAAAAATAAAGTTCTGTATTTTGGGAATTAGAGTGTCAGGCCTTTATGTCCCTATTCCTTTCTAGGAACTATGAGAAGTACTTTGTCAAGGCACAGAAAGTGAGACGTCTCATTGCCAACGACTTTGTGAAGGTTTTCAGGAGTGGTGTTGATATTTTACTCACTCCCACCACTCTGAGGGATGCAGCACCTTACACAGAATTCATCCAAGAAGACAACAGGACCCGCAGTGCTCAGGATGACATCCTGACACAGGCTGCAAACATGGCTGGTGAGTAGGGACAGGAGCTCAAATACATTTTCCCCTGCCTCATCATTTTAAAAGTCCAGTCTCTTTAGGTATTTAACCTTCTCTTTTAGAATCAAGATATTTCACCCCCATGTCCCAACTCTTACAGTGATAACTGGGTCTAAGGACAGTTTTATTAAATGCTTGAAAATGTAAGACCAGATTTTAAAGTAGAGTACCTTGGAGTCAAGTGTGGGCTGCAGGTAAGATGAATCTGTTCCAGAGACAGAAATCTCTTCCTAAGGAGAGCTGAATATCTTTTTCAGAGGATGCTGACCTCTTAAATCTCTCTAATTTCTTGTGATCATCTAGCATTCACTTCATTGAATCAAATTATTTTAGCTAGTCTTTTTTCTTCATTTTTTTTTCTGGTTCTCTTAAAATTGATACAGAAATTACTCTAAGGTTTATAGTAAGTCTTTGCATGTGTTTTTTTTTGTCTTCCAGGACTGCCAGCCATAAGTGTTCCTACAGCTCTTTCAGAGAGAGGCTTGCCAGTTGGGCTTCAGTTCATTGGACGTTCATTCCAGGAAAAGCAGCTTCTCACTGTAGCCAAATGGTTTGAGAAACAAGTACAATTCCCACTGATTCAACTAGAAGAAGTAAAGAGGCATGACAGTGATGTCTTTCAGCATCAGAAATCTGCTTCTTTTTCATAGCCTGGGACTTGCTAGTCAGCTAGAGCAAGACAGCTGTGGGGATGGTCAAGAAACTAATTTCTGCAGTTAATTGTCTTTTGCAGAAGTAATAATCTGTCCTAAGAAGATGTTATGCAGTAATGCATGATGGAATCACGACAGCTTGTTGCAGAGTAATTAAGGCAAAGTGAATCATTAAGTAAACATCACCATGTTATTAAGCAACATTTCTTACTGATATTAAAAATACCAAATTGAAATTGTGTATGTTACGCCTGTGAAGCTGATTTTTTAATCCCTAGAGGGTGTGTAAGGTATCTGACCAGTTAAAGAACTAGCCTGAACTGTTGTGTGAAAATTTCATGGTTGCCAAAGGGCTTGGTTTCCTTCTGGAGTGTAGATTTTTGTAATGGCAACAACCAGACAAGCTCTGTTGGAACAAAGGCATCAAGGATCTGTTTACCAAAAGTTAAATACTAAGGGAAACAAGGGAATAACTTAGAACCATAGAATCCTTTAGATTAGAAAAGACTTTTAAGATCATCAAGTCCAACCCAGCACTACAAAGTTCAGCATTCAATCATATCCCTAATGCCACATCTACACATCTGTTATGTGGTGGTTATTAAGGCCATTGTGAGAAAGCTAAATCACACCTGCCTTTAGATCCCTGTTTTATCAAAATCCAACATGTGGAAATGTTAGTTCATTTTAAAAACCAAAATGTTCCCTACTTCTAGTTAACTGGTGCAGAAGGTAAAAATTACCTCTGGTTTTACAAATCATTTAGATTACTGTGGTTATATCTGTGTAAGAATGATGAAGTCCAGATATCTTCTGGGGAAAGATGTGTAGTGGTAGTAGTAGTACTTGAGTAGTTCTTTTCTTCCTCCTTCATCACTGTTCTTTATAATCAACACCTAAACACTTGCTAAGAAAGAGCTCTTACTCAGTGTGGGAATAATGCCATCTATTCCTTCATGGACAGTCATTCAACACAATAGTAATTCCAACTGAATTTCCAAACTGTCATCATGCAGACTGGAAGACTTACTAAACAACTCTTAACCTGTTTCAAATGTTGCATTTTGCGTTTCTTGATAGTTAAAAACATGAAGGATGACGTTTGTAAATGTTTTGCATCAGATTTGCTTTCAGTCATAGTGTACAGGATGCAGAGATGGAAAAGGTGTAGAGGGAGAAAAATGACTGAGGTGGAATCCCCTATGGAAACATAATAAATCTTCCAGAATTACATCTTGTCATGTACCATATTGTCACCCATATAAAAAAGGAAAACATTATTTCTAAAAATTGCAGGTGAATTGGTGAATCTTCCATATGCCAAAGTGAGCTTTTTCAATACCTTTCCTACACAATTAAAATGGTACACCAGTAAAAACCCCATTTAAAAAGCTAATAGAACACAGAACTTTCCATGGAACAATTTTAGGGAAGTTGTTTTTTCTGTTAGTGGGTAATGATGAACTGAGAGTCCTAATAAAATATTTTCACTAATGTATTGTTCAGTAATGTAGGTGTACTGTAACCATGCAGGTGTGTCTTACAGCACCTTGCTGACCAGGGCTCTCAGTGAGGTTATCCAAGTTGCTGTACTTGGATAGGTACTTTAAATAGTTGCTCTTTGATGTGCACATCTGAAACCCAGACCTACCACTTGCTGTTTCTGAAAGTAAAGGTCAGTGTCTTTGGGCCAGAGTTTGAGATAAAATCCTGGCTGTGCAGAGCATTCCTGGAGAGACTTGAAGCACCTTGGAGTGTTGCAGAAGAGAACAAGCTGAGGACTGTGCTTTCCCTTGGAAATTCATTCTAGACTGACTTCTGACCTGCTGGAAGATCACTGCTTATGCTTGGCAGTCTTTCTCGTAAAACTTTGATGTAAAGAGATACCTGGTGGGAAAACTGGATCAAGGCATAGATCCCTACTCCATGCAATTAGAGGAGCAGCTCCAAGCAGTTAGAGGAAGAGAGATGGAGAGTCCCTGTATCTTCACTGCCTTTTTTTGAAGTGGGGCTCCAATTCCAGTCTGGAGAACCCTCTAAAGGAGCATTCAGAAGATCACAGTGATGACCTGTTCTGACACAGGCCCTTCAGTTTCTGCTGCTGGCAGATTTCTGAGCATAGAACAGCTGTGTGGGGAAATACACAGTGGGAGAGGAACCAACCAACCAGCCAGACACCCATTCTGCCTGGCATTTATAACTGTATGTTAGCAGTTGAATTAACAATTGCAGAGACTTAAAAAACAAACTCCTGGGTAGATACTTAAATTTCTGGGCTATCAGTTTCACAGCAGTCCCAACAAGATTTCTGTCCTCTTCCCACTCCTAGCTGGTTTGCATTTTTGGGGACTGTATGCCTATATGCTCTTTCTGCCCTCCCCTTTCTAAAGCTGGAATTTCATCAAGCCAGAGGCAAGAACTTAGGAACCAGTTTGGTGAAGCTGCTAGAGGAGGTAAGCAAGAGTTCCTTACACTGCAGGAGAATAGGTAAGAGACTTCTGCTGTCTTCTTATTAGAAAAACTGGTAGTTGACTCTGGAGCCCCCAGCAGTTCCAAAGGAGCTTTCCACCCCAGCCTGCCTCTAGGTACTGTGGTTGTGAGCAGAGCTTTGTGCAGCTGCTCCCACTGCCAAGTCACAGCTCCAGAGTTATGAACAGGAAAAATTGCTATGCCAGATAATTAAACTCCCAAAACCCCTTGGTACAGAAGCAGAGGAATTCCAAGGAGCAGGAAGGTCTGGAGGTAAAAAAAAATAAAAGGAAAAGCCCAAAACCCTGCCTATGCAAACATTTTGTACAGCTGTCTTGAAAAACAATTCACTGAAATAATAGAGTTGGAAGTTTCATGGCATTGCAGCACGGTCACAGTGGGAGGTAGGTGTAACCTTAGCACACACTGAGCCCAGATAATTCCAGTGTTTCCTGAAAGAAACAAAAGCTAGAGCTTTAGCAAACAAGCAATCTGGGTTTTGGTGCAAATTGTTTTTTCTTCGGGTAATGAGAACCTGTAAGGACATTGTATAGTGGAAAAGCTTTTTTTGAAATGAAAATTGTTAAGTGCTTTTGCTTAAGATGTTCTTAAATACAATTGCCATCTGATATTGCACTTTATGCAGTTTCCACATATGAGTTTTTCCCTCGCCCTCTTTAAGAGCACTCAAAGAAAGAAGAAATTCAAAGCAAAATTTAACCTTGTGCTGCTGCTAAGTGCTAAGTGCTGCTCCTTCTCTGTTCCTGCATTTCTAGTTTCCATGTATCATGCACTTAATAGCAACTACAAATTCATTATAACTTCCAAAGTGCTAGTCATTCTCCATGAGTTGTATGATTCACCCAGGAACCAATCTGTGGAAAGCTGCAATAGGGAATGGGCTTTGTACCCGACCTGGGGAATCCCACAGGCCTCCCCCTCAGCTCTGCCCCCCAGAATACTGAGAGCAGTACTAATCATACTGCATACAGATGGGCAGCTGGAAAGGGAGAAAGAGGTGTGCACAGCATGCCTAAAAATCTCAGCTGGAGTTACATGGCATTTGTACTTCATGTTAAATTTATGCCCACAATGCCACCAGAGAGTACAGAAATAAGCAAAAAAGCCAGAGGAGCAAAAAAGGTTTTTCTAAGCTTGTAATTTTTCCATCTGTCTCTCAAATAAAAAAGAAGGTATCCAGTTACAGGAATGTGAGAGAGAGGCAACAAATGAAAAACACAATCTTCCCAATTAGCTTACCACACCTCTGATTGACCAATGTCCAGATGCAATTAAGTGAATCCAAGCTAACCTTTCTTTTTAAGCAGACGAAAGGGTTTTTTCCCACCCAGCACAGGCATCCTCATGCACTTGCTGCTGAACAGCAGTAAAAGGTGTCTTTAGCTCAGGGGTGCAGGGCACTCAGGGAAAGCAGCAGGAACACAGCCAGGGCACTTTGCCATGTCCTGTGCCATTTTACAGCCTGGACTATGGTCACTGTAAGGGTGAAAGTGCTGTAGAGGGTCACAAGCCAAGTCTGCAGCACAATACATGATGAAATGGATTTCAAAGAGCTGGAAATGTAATCTTTTTCAGCTGAAGAGACTGCTCTTGTATGTCACTGTGTGTGACAGCCAGTGGTGAAAGGATTTGTGTGTCCTGCCTTGCTGCACTGATAGTGACCCATGGTGCACAGGGCACTGCCGTGTGTGCTGGATCCGACACCTGGGGCACAACAGGGACTCCTCAGCTACAGGCCCCTTTCAGGATCCTCAGGTGCATTATGTGGAGAGGAAAGGGCAGAGGACAGACTGTGTGAATGGCTGCTGCAGGAGGATGTGAGATCAGGGCAGGAGCAGAGGCCGTAGGAGGTCAGTACTGTCTGGCAGCACTGGGCACCTGCCTGCACTGTTCTGTGACCTGGGACAGCTGCTGGGCTGTACCTGCTGTCTGCCAGCACCACTTCCAAAGGGGAGACAAGATCCTGCACTGCAGGGTATGGAGGAAAAGCAGTGGGCACTTCATTGTGCCACGCAGGAGGGGACGTTTCAGCTTGGGAAGTGACACTGAGAAGCACAGAAATATCGTCTAGGCAAGCTGAGAAACATCAGAAAGGTAGAAAGCACAGGTAGAAAGCACACAAAAGAGGGAAAGGATTAAGTGTCATAAAAGCTGAAAACTCATTCAAGTAGCCAGACTTGGGAGAGGAAGATTGAAGAGATAAAGGACATGGGGATGAGGAAGCACACATAATCTCAGAATACTCTGAGGTGGAAAGGACCCACAAAGCTCATCAGAACTATTCTGGTGAATGAGGGGCCTTGACTTCATGTTCCTAAGTTGAAATCTTCGAAGGTGGATGCCTTTTATAAGTTGTACTTCTCTGAACAGAGAGGCAACTTGATTTAGTCCAAGACCAGAGTATTTAAGACTTTAATTCACCAGTTTTAGTGCCAAGGTAAGTGCTACTCAGGCACATATAACATCTGACACAAACACACAAAATCCATGTTTAACAAAGATCAAAACATGTGATTAACAATATACTTCAGGAAGCCTTGGAACAAACTGCAAAAGGGACCATGTGGGCTTGATTTCTCTATATAGATAATAACCATTTCATACAGTCATCTCCATTATTAAAATCTAACAAGTATTTTTTGTTTCTTTCTCCTATTAATATTCAAGAACCTTTTGCTTGGAAACTTAAAACATCAGCCAAGCCATACACACCTATTTACTCAAGGCAATATTGGCTGTTTTGTTTAAACATGCTTTCTCAATTTATGTGTTTAATTCATTCTTGTATTTATAGAGCACAGTTACATTCTTCCTCGGCCTTTATTCTGCTAGAACAGTTTATTCCTGGATATGAGTGCCCTGTGCTTATCCCTGTAGCCATTCACTGCACCTGCTCCAGCTGAACCCATGTCTTCCAACAGAGGTGACAAGTATTGTAAAGGCAATTCCAGGTGCATGTTTATGAGCACAACAGCATTAATATCTCCCTGCCACTCCTGAAAAATCCTTCTCCAGAACACCCTGGAATCACACTTGTCCTTTACTCAGCCACATTACACCATACTGTAGCTCAGAGCCAATTTATGATTAACCGGTCCTCTTGGGGCTGGCTCTGCCTCCATGGCTTTCAGTGGATAACCATTTCCTGTATGAGACCATTTCCTGGGAGCTCATTATTGAGCCTCTAGGTTCATGACCTTGCACTCCTTCTCATCACTGCTATTTGGATTATTGGAGTTTTCCAGTTTTTCCTGTAGCAGTCCAACTCTCTGCTGATTTAACAGTAATCTCAGCTTCATGTCATCAGAAACAAAGAATGTGTCCTTCAAACAACTTTCCTTATCACCATAACTTTACCCTCATTGCAATCATTCTCCAAGCCACTGCTGCCAATGGACTTAAAGGACAATGAAATCCAGTTTCTCCTGTGTGGCCTCTGTAAATCTCACCTGTGCCCTGATGAATCATGTAGATGCAACCACCTATTGAGAAAGCTACATGCAGGCTGAGGAGCTGTAGCCTTTCTTAACAAAAACTTGGGGTTACAGCCCTCATTCTATTCCATGCCTGGCTTGCTTTGATGGGTAAAACCACACAGAGTCCCATTGCAATAAACACTGTGTGGGTATCAAGAAAAGAACTTGCCCCTGAAAAGAGCTTGCATCTATTATGCATCTATCCAAAACCCCCATAAAACCCCCAACAAAAAAGCCACCCCAGGATAATGAGCTATTGTATCCACAGCACTGGAAACATAAGAGCCTGAATGATCTACTCTCAATTGTGGACAATGGAAACACGCTGAATCACTAAAACCCAACCTTCAATAGGCAAAATGCAGCCTTGTCACTAAGACAAACTGCTAATAGCAACAATGAGGCCTGGAACAGCTTGTATGGAGCCAAAGTGGCTCTCATACT